TAGTTTCACACTAATCTGCACACATACATAGAGCACTGTAATTACTTTTTTTATTATCAAACTTTTTTTTTCTCTTCAATACCATTCTTTTGTAATCAAGTTAATGATCATTTTCTTATAATTTTTTGTAGCAAGGCATAATAAAAGGACATAGGATTAAAGTGTAAAACATAGAAAAATAACATGGTCAATCAATAATTCTCACAAAAAAGTTCTTTTTGATCCCTTTTTTTTCCTTGTCACAATCCCTTTAATTTTTGGAAGTTTTTTTTTACTTTAAAATTTTATTTTTTATTTTTTTAGTTTTTATATTGAAAAAAAAAAGAAATTCCTTAAAGAATAATTAAAAAAAAATTATTAGTTAACCACATATCAGTATGAAAAAGTCATTTTTCATATCAATTAAATGAAAAAAATTTCACTATAGTGTTTTTTACCTTTCATCTTACTAGTAAAAGTAGATTAAAGATAAAAGAGGAATTTTTTTTTTGTTTAATTGTGTTTTTAAACTATTTTAGGGGTGCTTTTATTTTATTATTATTTTATTTTCATTACAAGAATGTTTATTAGGTGTTTTAACATTAAAATAGATTGAAAATAAATTTTTAAATAAAAAATCTTAGCTTAATTTTTCAACCATCTTTTTTTGAAAACCAAGCAGGGAAAAATGACATGTCATTTGTTTTTTTTTTTTAAATAAATAACATTTCATCCATCTTTTTAATTGCATAAAAAATATCAATCACACATGATATTTTTTTATTAATAAGTTATACATGCTTACTTGAGCTCTTCTTTTTTTTTGCTTCTTTTTAAATTAATTATAATATATTAATTAATTAATTATATACGTGGGATGTCTGGCAAATATTCAGTTTTAATTAAAATTAATTAAAATTAAAATTATATATATCAACTTTTCAATTTTATTTATAATTAATATTAAAAAAAAATACATTTACCGGTATATATGATTCTCGTTAGAGTGGAATGGTGATAATTGAAAGCTGAAAGACTAATTTGTCTGACTAATAATATAATAATCAATTAGTTCAAAGTCTTCTATAGACTAGTAGAAAATTTAACTTGATATGCAAGCAAGTAAATTATCATCCCTGTCATTAATGTCATCTTCATATATATATATATAGCCATCAACTCATGATCCTCTCAGATCTCAAACAACCTTACCAAACATCCAAGGGACTACACGCCCTAATCAAGAGTCATACGACTTATAAGCTTTCATTTTAATTAATAATTTTGAGGAGCCGCCTAGTTAGGCTGGTCAAACAAGGATTAACTTCTTCAAACCTCATTAATTATCGCGAGACCTTTATTGATCAGTTGTCACTACAAGTGAGAAAACGACAGCAATAAATTACCAATTTTTTAATTAATTCCTTGCATGTTCTGCAAGAAATATACATAATATGTTGCAAATTTTCTTACTGAAATGATGTATGATAAGGAGAGGATGCATGCAGAGACGCCTCATGTTGAACTGATCAAGACGTGTCTGTTAATTTTAGACTGCCGCCGGCCGTTTCTGTTCGTGGAAATTTCTTTTATATATATATATTAAAAAAAAATCCGAGGAGAGGGGAAGAAGAAAGGAATGTGCATGAGAAATTAACAGGATCAATCAAGGGAATGCATATTTTAGTATTTAAGTACGAAGCAGATCGATATTTTTTTCAATGGTAGTTCATCTTTTACGTCCCAGAATTATTATTTTTCTTAATCTTCAACAAGTTCTTTATATGTAAGCAAATATATTTACGATAAATATCCTTTTGAAACCTCACTTAAATTTTCAACTATGAAGGATATACTCAGATAACGTACGTGGGTAGTAATCAATATTCTATCCACAGGCCAAGGGATATTTGAGAGCAAGATCTAATTCGGGTTTTAAAAAAATTATTTTTTTATATTTTTTAATTTTTTATTATTAAAAATAAATTTTAAAAAATAAATATAAATATAATTTTAATTTATTTTTAAATAAAAAATAATTTTTATCATAATACCAAACAACCTCGAGCCCATGGCAAATATGTCCCCCTTTTTCTTAAACCATGTCGAAGTTTTTTCAAGATGTTTTCTTTACTTTCACTTGGTGAGATCTTATCATCAACTTTTGCAAAAGCAGATGCAATTCTTACAAGCCTTCTCAAGCATGTGTCCAAATCAACACGTTTTGGGTTTAACAGTGATGTAAAGCTACCTCGGCAACAAAATAGTTTGATCAGACTTAAAGAAAAGTAGAAATCATGCTGTGTTGGATAATCATAACTCTGCTGTCTTCAATGCAAATGTACAAATTTATTATGAACTCGATCTTCATTAATTATTTTGATTAACAATGTTTAGGTCAGCCTATCAAGAAACAAACATGGGTCACCCTGCATCAATCATGCACCTGTGGTGCTTCCCAGAACAAGGAAAAATGATGCCATGACAAGACACCTGAGAGGAGCGTGGTAATTTATGATATTCCACTCATTTTAGCTGCTGTTGCGAGTTATTTCCAGCTCTGGACATTGCCAATTATTCCTCATTTCTTAGTTAAGAACAACAGGAAAAAAAAAATGAAAGGTTAAATGTCATAACTTGTAGCGTGTAGATTTCTTCTTCTTCTTTTTTACGTTTGCAATATCATGATTCACAAGCTGCCTCTTTTGTTTATTTTAAAGGAATAATTGGATGGTTTTTGGGGGTTTGCTCATCTGCTGTATCTAAAATTTCCGATTAAACGTCACTGTTAGGGTTCATTTTCTACTTGTACTTGAAATAACTGCAAGGCAGTAATATATGTACCGTGTACAAATAACTGCAAGGCAGTAATATATGTACACAACCGGCAATTGATTTCAGACCAAGAGTTTTGAGGCTGATGAAGGCCAACACACCGACAGCGGTCAACTACGCTGCAGCTCTGTCACTTCTGGGTTATATCGGCCACTCAAGCATGCGAGTCCTCTAGGATATGGTTCTCGGTTGATTTCTACCGACCATATATACCACTGCTAGATGACCAGCTAGCATTGCTGATCTAGAGAAGTTAGCTGTTTAGGAGCTGGTCTTTTTTCTTTTTTTTTCGTCATATTTTGTGATCTGTAAATGAACTCGCACGACATAGTGGCCACTGGCCATTGATTCAAGACCATAATTTTTTTGAGGTGAAGGGATCACCTTGGTCCATGGACGACCACTCTTCAGCTACTCTAAATCTTTATTCACCTGAAATGATTCAGTACCCTGATCAGAACTCTGGAGAGACAAACGGAGAAGGAGAGAGCCATGGTGAACTTGGCCACGTTACAGTCACAATGGAAGGCTAGACAATCTGTCAGGGGAGAAAGTTTTCCATGGGAAAATTGACTGCTATGTTATCTGTCAGGGGAAAGTTTTCCATGGGAAAATTGACTGCTAGTTTTTTAGTACTTAGTCATCGCATGCTCAAATCCTTAACTCTACAGAACTTGAGTTTAAAAATACTATATTCTAAGATGAGGCTAGAACAGCCTTCATCGTTGATCAATTTAAAACCTACATGATGATACAATTTTCTTACCTCGTCAACTAGAAACTACGAACTGTCTAATTAGATCATCAATCCAAATGATGAGATGGAAAAGAAAAAATGAATTCAATCAATCTCATCTCCTTCATGAAGAGAAGGGGAAGGAAATATTTGAATTTCAAGCAAAACTTTCAGGATAAGTCCCCAACATCTGAGACATATTAAGAGCAAAATCCTTGCAGCAATTTATTGACTTTACGATCAATCAAGAAAAATTTACACATGCTGAACTTCTTTTCCTAATACCCTCACCCACTGATTTTGTAGTAGTTAACAATTTTCTTCATCGTATCACGCCAACTACACACTCAGCAACTCTCTGCCAAATAGAAACAACTCGTCGCCATCAAACGCCAAACCTACATTTTCCGGCAGTTTGGTTGTCATTTTCCAAAGCTTCAACATTTCAACAAGCATTAGCTCATGTGAGATGCCCCCAACCTTCCTACCTCAGGAATAAAATAACATCAACTGGATGAGCACAAGTCAGATTAAACACTGATTCGAGAAGCAAGATACCTTAGCTGCAGCCTGTTTTGTTTTTGCCTTTGCTTAAGCTTCAAAACATTCACCTTTCATCGGTTTAATGGCATTTTTTACCCTTAACTATTGGGTTTATGGCAAACCGAGGCATGCACTATCAATTTGATTAATTTTGTCCTTAAAATAACATAATTTAAACAAATATTGTCTCTCTGTTTGATTTAACTGTTGTCATTGATCAAAAACCCTTTTTAAAAAGGATTTATTTTTTGGTATTATGAGCTGAAGATTTTCATAAATGTTAAAAAAAAATAATCTAATTTCAAACATTTTGTAGGTTAAGAAGAATTTTCTAATTTTCTTAACATTAAATATTAACAAAATTGCAAAAAAAAATAAAAAAAAAATAGAAGATAACTTGGAACATCCATAATTTTGTTGGGGACTCTAAAAAAATCATATAATTTCTTTTTTTAGTATGATTCTCAAAATATTAAACGGTTGAATACATTACCTAACCAATCTAACCAAGCTAAAATAAGCAAACTTTGAGAACCACATACACAAATATTTTAAGAACCACACTAAAATTACCAATATAAATTAATATAACCTCTTTAGGGCTCCTAAAAAAATTGAGATAATTCCAGCATAATTTCTATTTCACAATTCATTGAAATTTTATTGTTTAGAAAATAAATGAATAAAATACTTTCTGACTTCAAAATTTTTTGAAATTATTAGTTATAGTGGTTTGAACTTTTATTAGCATATAATAAAAATTTCAGCTCTAAAAACCAAAAATTGAATTCTTTTTAAAGCAGGTTTTAGTTAATGTTAACAGTTAAATCAAACAAATGAATAATGTGATAGATTAAGGACAAAATTGATCAAATTGATAATATAGACCTTAGTTTGCCACAATATCAATAGTTCAGGGACAAAAAAATGCCATTAAACCCCTTCTCATCACCACAAGCCACATTGACCGCATTGAGGCTGGATCAAGCAATCAATTCTATCAATGAAAGTCAGAAAACGTCAAATGCATAAAATTAGCTTACACGAGCTTCTCATCACCATAAGCCACATTGACCACATTGAGGCTGGATCAAGCAATCAATTCTATCAATGAAAGTCAGAAAACGTCAAATGCATAAAATTAGCTTACACGAGCTTCTCATCACCATAAGCCACATTGACCACATTGAGGCTGGATCAAGCAATCAATTCTATCAATGCAAGTCAGAAAACGTCAAATGCATAAAATTAGCTTACACGAGGTTCTTCATCTGCCAAGGAAGCTATGCAGTTGCATGTCACATTGTCTTTGTCATCCTTCAAATCGAATTAGGCCTACAAAATTGAACAGGTCCACACCAATGGAAAAACAGACTTAACAGAAAATGAAGCTAAGTATCTAAATTAACCTATGACATTCCTTGCAATGATGGAGTGAAATAAAATTCATTGCATTGATGGAGTGAAATAAAATTCTAGCATTTGAGGCGAACTACTTTAAAAGACATGAAATGAGTCACAACTTTATCATGGGAGCAAATTTGAGTTCCTCAGTATCCTCCCTAAAGCTACAAAGTTTTATATCCACATTAAGTCATTAGCAGCTCAATCGATGGACTTATAATTTGAGCTTGAATAAAAATGCAGCGTAACTCAGAATAGATACCCACGTTAAACATACCTTTCAAAGGACCGAGTTAAATGACTGAAACTAAACTTCAATTGCTGCCCACCTTAAAGTTTTGAGCATGTCCATAATCTCTTCAATCCTTGAATGTGAAAAATCCACTACAGTAAACTTTTCAAAAGTCCCCTTCACTTCAATCAGACTATGGCCAGGCTCCTTCTTCAATCCACTGCCCTTCAACAGCTTCCAGGCCTCTGCAACACCATCCCACATTTCATCTGAAGCATACAAGTTTGATAACAAAACATAGGGTGATGTAGTCACTGGCTGAAGTTTCAGAAGTTGTCTAGCAAAACATTTCCCAGTGTCAACATCTCCATGCAACCGACATGCAGACAGCAAGCTACCTAAAACAACAGTATCATGCCCAAAAGGAAATTTCTTCATGTACTCTTTTGCCTCGTTTAATCTCCCAGCTCGTCCCAATAAATCAATGAGACAAGAAAAATGCTCAATTTCAGGGGAAATCCCATAAGTTTCTTCCATAGAATTGAAATAGAATAGCCCCTCATCCACCAGCCCTGCATGATTGGAAGCTGTTAGAAGTCCAACAAAAGTTACAGAATCTGGCTTTACCCCCATTGTCTTCATCCTAGCAAAAAGTTCAAATGCCTTCCCTCCAAATCCATGATTTCCAAATCCAGCAATCATGGTATTCCACGAAACAAGATTTTGATGCTCCATCCTGCTGAATATATAATAAGCCTTTGCGATGCAACCACATTTAGCATACATGTTTATAAGGGCGTTACCAGCACCAACATCTTGATACAACCTTGTCCTGATTAAATGACCATGAATCTGCTTTCCATTGCACATTGACCCAAGACCGGAACAAGCAGCAAGAGCACTAGCAAAAGTAAATTCATCAGGCCTCATGCGACATTCATTTAACATCTCTTTAAAAGCTTCCAAAGCTTTCTCATGATCATTACAATGAGAACAAGAGCTTATAAAAGTATTCCATGAAATGAGATCTTTCTCTTCAATTGATCTAAAAGCTTTCTCTACTTCTTCTAACAAATTCAACTTTGAGTACATTGTGATTATCAAATTACCAATAAAAGCAGAAGAGTTAAGTTTAAGCTTTATAGTTTGACAATGCAAAAGTTCCCCTCTTTTCAGATCATCACGACTATTACACGTCCCAAACAGCCCAACAAAAGTAAACCTATCAGGAAAGAAACCCTCTTGATACATCATTCTAAGCACTTCAAAACCCTTGTCAGGTTGTTGATTCTCAACAAACCCAGTAATCAAAGCATTATAGGCAACAGGATTAAGCTCTAATGCCTCATTATAAGCCAACAATGCATCACTGCACTTACCGCACTTCATGTACATTGTAATGAGAGCATTAGAAACAAAAGAAACAGAATCAAGCCCAAATTTCAATGCTTGACCATGAATTTGCTTTCCTTGAACTAGCCCCTTCAAACTAGCACAAGCACTAATAACACTGGCATATACATACTCATTAGGCACAATATTCAATTTTGAAAACAACCCAAGTGCCAAAATGGGCTCTCCAATCTGTTCATAACCAGAAATCATAGCTGACCATGAAACAAGATTCCTTTCAGACATTTCATCGAACACCTGGCGTGCTTCCCTTAGTTTGCGACATTTTGCATACAAGTTGAGGATATGGTTAGAGACAATAACATCAGACCTTGTTGCTGTTTTTATAGCTATTGCGTGAAGCGGGAGACCTTGTCTTAAAGCCTTGGTTTTTGAACATTGGTGTATTAAGGATCCAACGAGTTCTGGAACCATCATTTGATTGCAAGGGAGAGCAGTATGAGCTGCCACCGAGGGATAAGGTGACTGTTAAATTTCATGGGCTGGTTTGGTTTCAATATTGGGTCTCCAATAAATTTATAGCATCATGTTTCATTAAGCATGTTCTATCTTGTTTGGTGGCCCAGTAGGGTTTGTGATTTTAAAACAAAGACCCAATGAAATTGCTGTTGATTGTAGAAGAAGTTGATACAGTGGGTGTCCATTTTTTTCTCTTATGGAGGTTTGCATTTAATTACTTGATCTGAATGAAAGCTGACGATATTGAGAGATTTTCTTCAAGAATACGGATTATTTGTGATTATGGTTAGAATGTTAAATGTTAAGTAGTTGTTGGGGTACGGTGGATATTGCTGTTTTTCACTTGAAATTTAATTAAAAAAAAAATTGACATTAACATATTAAAATAATCTAAAAATATAAAAAAAATTAATTTAAAACCAAAAAAATCAAATTTTTTTAGAAGCACGGTTGGATAGCAAAAATCTTCAAAAGAATCATATTTAAAACACAAAATTATTATTATTATCATTATTATTGAAATATTAGTTTTTTAAGTATTTTTATATAAGTATCTTACCTTTTCTTTTGTTCATGTTCTAAAAGAATAAGAGCAACAATGGTTGGAGTTAAAATTATTAATATATTAAATGTGGTATTGAATGATCCACTTGCTCCGCTGTTAACTTACTTCTTTATGTTATTGACATGATCATTTTATTAGCAGTAATTCTTCTTTGGTTCACACCTTTATTACTCGACTCTCCCAAGAATTCTCCATGAAGGATTTGGATGATCTTTATTGCTTTCTCGGCATTCAAGTTCAAACTAATAAGAAGGGTCTGTTCCTCAGTTAATCAAAGTATTCTTTTGATCTCTTGCAATGTGCTTCCATGGATGCCAAGCCCATTTTTACATCTTTCATCTTCGGTCAACATCTATCAGGCGATGGAAAGTTGCTCTCCGACCCTACACTGTTTCGTTCTCTGACCAGTGCTCTCCAATACTTGATTATCACCGGCCTGATATGTTTTTCGGTGTAAATTCCATTAACCAGTTCATGTATGTTCTTAATGAGAAGGATCATTTTATTGCTCTTAAACGAATTATACGTTATGTTATGTTAAAGGCACTGCTCGTCGTGAACTTTAACTTCATAAACAGTCCACTTGTGAACTTCTTGCCTATTATAATACCGACTGCGCTGGAAGTCATGATACATATAATTTCACCATCGGCTATGCTATCTTTTTCCTGTGGGAATTTAAACTCTTGGTCCTCTCAGAAGCAAAGCATCGTATATATCTTGTTCAAGTGTAAAAGTAGAATAATATTGCTCGTTAGTTAGTTGTTGCCACTGATGATATTGCAGTTAATCCAGTTACTCGTCTCTAGTGGCACTTTGAGAATATTTACTTTTGTTCTTTCCCATATGTTGCTTGCTAACTGCTAACCAAAGGCATCACCACACGTCAGTTTGCTTGTTTTTTCAAAGCAAGCTGAGGTGTTAAACCATCTTGGAGGGGATAATAAGAGAGAATCAAATGTATCTCCATATATAATAGCTACTGCATTCAAGTTTCTATTACCATGTCTAATATCTGGTTTTATGGATGCAAGAATATTTTGAGAATTGTATTTGATTTTTTATTACACAATTGTAATTGTGATGTATATAAGAAGAAGTTATAGAAGGATTTCAGCCATTTAGTACTGTGTGTCGAACATCTTTAGATAACATATAACATTTGATCATGGAAGATCCGATTCTCACCTGCACTAGCTAGAGAGCCATTTTGTTTTTCTTAATTTCCACTCACACACAAAGGTTAGCGCGATAAATGCTGGGCGGCTTTTGATGAAAATCCCAAGTCAAAGCATCCTAAGGAAAAAACAATAATGAAAACAGCACTCTTACCCACCTTCATCGTAAAACCCAGGTTGGGTTGATCAAATGGACGAAAACAACCAGGCCCCAAATTCAATGTTTGTGATTATGATTATGATTCATCAAATCCCAAAAGATAAAAAAGGCAGATAAAAAGATGGGATTACTGAGGATGATTTGGTTTGTAATCAATGGAATATTAAAAGATAAATAAAGTCAAACCTTTTGTCTCCTTGACGACTACTTTTGTGAAGGTCATTTTCACCCATTCATCCACGGATCTCCTATTTGCATACACGTACTGGAGAAAAAGGTCATCTTCAGGTCACGGCCTTTCTCATAGAATCGGCCCTCTCTCGTAGTTCACTGATCGGGCTCGAGCTCCGTCACAAGGGCAATTTACAGATTATTAGCGATTTCGTGTTATAATTTGCTCTCAATATCTTTCGAGATATCTTCAACTTAAATGCAGTAAAAACCCTCCATTTATGTATGGATACCATGAGGGTAGTACTGATGCTTCTACCAGCAGTTCGGAACACTGTGTGTGTGTGTGTGTGGGAGGGATTGCCATCCGAATTCCGAGTAAGAACACAGAGAGCACAGGCTCCAGTTTGCCGGAATGTCGTAACATCTGTCCATCTCTTCAACCCCACTTGATGATTATGGCCCTTTAAATTCTAAGCATCCATGATAAGCAGTGTCTTGTTTTTCTTAGCTACACATGCACCTCACATCACCAAGC